ATGAAAATCCGATGGCTTCGTAGAAAGATACCATTATCAGTCCTTCATCACCTCATGTGGCCTAGTGCGAATACAGCTCTTATACACGTCTCCTCCGGTTCGCAGTGAAGCCAATTTACGAATTCTTTCCAGCCAGCTTTTCCTTCGTAATGAAGAGTCGAATCACTCTTTAATTGATCCCATTTACGACTTGGCGACTTGCAACCCAATTCTGTTGCCCAGTTCACATCTTGTCACGATCAGAAGAATCCGTTACAGGTGGCACGATTTTTCCGGGCCTCGAACGAAAGGCTCGACGGCCCACCAAATCATGGTCCATTTCGAGGTTTTACATGGCGTGTATGAAGCCAACTCAGGTGGGAAAACAAAAGTTGGCTGGTGAGAGTGGATTCTCGTGTAAAGCTATGACAACCTCCTACAGCTCGTTGCTTCTGGAATAGTAATTTAACTTGGATCCGACTACTAAAAGTTGTCGGGGGCGGGGATTCTGGGGTTTTCAGGTGAGCTACAGCACACAACTGTAACTAGGCCTGAGGCTGACCACCTGCGCGACCCGCTGCCTCTACAACTGGAAGCAGCCGTGACTTTGCATTGCCTCATATCGGAACACGCCATGATGACTACTGAAACCGTTAGGCAGTCTGGGTCTCGCGAAATGATGTGGAGACTGACATGACTTTCAATTTATAAATAAGAGTTGGTTGGAAGCAATTAATGATGTGGTCTCATCGGAGACCGGAAGAGGACTGTTGGATTGTGCCAAGAAGTCATCGGCTCACCTGGAGCCTATAGAAATTGACAAACAACCAACTTCGTTTAAGGTGATGAAGGACTGGTAGAAGAAGAATTTTTCCACAATGAGATGAGTTGAGCTGATGTTTCCATTGAATGGAATGGGAAAATTCTTCTTCTACCAGTCCTTCATCACCTTAAACGAAATTTGGTGAATACATCTCATATTACTGATTTACTGGTCCTTAAAACAATACTTAAATGCGAAAAATAAAATAACGTATTCGATTGTTATAGCAAAAATACATTTGCTTCATCGCAACAATAATTAATTCGAAGAAAATAAAATAGCCAAAGTTCTGAATAGGAGGAACCAGTGAATAAAACTGAGTAGCAAGTTATATGAGAAGAAACACTACTTATAAACGAAATATGAGTAGCAACTATTTGTGGCCACTGAACTAATATGAATATTAGATACATACAATAGACAAAAGCACAAGCTTAAGCATGAGTCGACATGAGAGGATCTTACAATAGTTTAGTTACATGAGGAAACAGTTGACACCGAACGAACTTGCGGTTCGTGAAGTAACTTCACTCATCTCTTGCTTTAGTAT